TTTTATGGGCTTTATTTCCGTAATTTAATTTGTTAAGGTCTTAATAAAGCACATTTAGGATTTTTAATTGTACTTTTTTATTTTAATACATTTATTTGTACTTAGTAAGTTCAAATTTATGTATTTAGGGTATTCACAAGATTCAGTAAGCGTCTTAATTAAAAAATTCCATGTTTAAAAATCATAGATTTATGCATACAGATTTATATATAGTCCCGGACAAATTAATAGGGTCACGACACCTGGCCAAGTTTAAACCACCGAACGAAAATGCTGCACACAAAAACTGGGCTGGACCTGCACAATAAAAGACACATTAAATATACATAGTTTTATAACAATTTTTATCGCTATTTTTACTTACTTGTAAGTTTGAAACAAAGGCACACAACGCTTAATTTCCACCGCTGAAATCTTTATAAAAATGCTCGAACGCCGAGCCGCACAATTTTGTAATTGCAACTGCACAATAAAAGATGCATTAAATATACAAAGTTTTATAATAATTTTTATTGCGGTCTTTGCTTACTTGTAAGATTGGAACGAAGGCACACAAAGTTTTTATTTCCCACCGCTGAAATAAATTTTTATTTAAATGGCTGAACGCCAAGCCGCACAATTCACAAATTAATTGCAAGTCACGATTGCTGTGTTTTGTTCATTTTTCTTTCCGCGAAATTTCACTATCCATATGCATGCAACGTGTGCGAGTGAATAAGATATTATAAAGCAGTTCAAAAATTATAAGATGTTGTTTCATTCTAAGATTTTTTCATAGCGAATTCTCACATGTACTATTTATGTATTAGTGACATTCGAAAATTTCTGTGAATGTGTTCTAGTTTCGGTCATTCGAGTTTTGCAGGGATGTTAAAGACGACTGCTGATATCTCGACTGCCAATGTAACATACTCGTTGGCGCCTGCTGTTAGCTCTGTAGAGATGAAAAATGCACTGTGGTCTTCTTCTTCTCCTTATTTGGCGCTGTAACCGCCTAAGCGATTTTGGCCGAGTCCAAAACAGCACGCCAGTCATTTCTCTTCTGTGCTAACTGACGCCAATTGAAAATGCCAAGTGAAGCCAAGTCCTTCTCCACCTGGTCTTTCCAACGCAGAGGAGGCCTTCCTCTTCCTCTGTTACCAGCATCGCGGCCCGCGTTGAATATTTTCAGAGCAGGAGCGTTTCTGTCCATCCGAACGACATGGCCAAGCCAGCGGAGCCGCTGAATTTTAATTCGCTGCACTATGTCTATATCGTTGTAAAGCTCATACAGCTCATCGTTAAATCGTCTGCGATATTCGCCATCACCAACGCGTAAAGGTCCGTAAATCTTTCGCAGAATCTTTCTCTCGAAAACTCCAAGAGCCGCCTCATCAGATGCTTTCATTGTCCATGCTTCCGCGCCATACACCAGCACAGGCATGATGAGTGACTTATAGAGTGTGATCTTTGTACGACGAGAGAGGACTTTACTTCTCAATTGCCTACTCAGCCCAAAGTAGCACTTGTTGGCAAGAGTGATTCTCCGTTGGATTTCAAGGCTGACATTATTATTGGTGTTAATGCTGGTTCCCAAATAAACGAAGTCGTCTACTTTTTCAAACTTGTAACTGTCAACAGTGACGTGGGTGCCAAGACGCGTATGCTCTGACTGTTTGTGTGCTGACAGGAGATACTTCGTTTTGTCCTCGTTCACCACCAGACCCATTCGCTTTGCTTCTCTATCCAATCCCGAGAAGGCAGAACAGACGTAGCCCTTGTTTTTACCGATAATATCGATGTCGTCGGCATACGCCAGCAATTGTACGCTCTTATAAAGTATTGTGCCTGAGCGGTTCAGTTCTGCGGCTCTTATTATCTTCTCCAACATAAGATTAAAGAAATCACACGAAAGGGAGTCCCCTTGTCTGAAACCTCGTTTGGTATCAAACGGCTCGGAGAGGTCCTTCCCTATTCTGACGGAGCTGGTGGTATTGCTCAACGTCATTTTACACAGCCGTATTAGTTTCGCGGGGATACCAAATTCAGACATCGCGGCATAAAGGCAACTTCTCTTCGTGCTGTCGAAAGCGGCTTTGAAATCGACAAATAGATGGTGTGTGTCGATCCTATTCTCGCGGGTCTTTTCCAAGATTTGGCGTATTGTGAATACCTGATCTATGGTGGATTTTCCAGGCCTAAAGCCACACTGATAAGGTCCAATCAGCTCGTTGACGGTGGGCTTCAGTCTTTCGCACAATACGCTCGATAAGACCTTGTAACCTATGCTTAGAAGGCTAATTCCGCGGTAGTTGGCGCGTATGGCGGGGTCGCCTTTCTTGTGGATTGGGCAGAGCACACTTAAATTCCAGTCGTCGGGCATGCGTTCATCTGACCATATTCTGCATACGAGCTGATGCATGCACCTCATCAGCTCCTCGCCGCCGTACTTGAATAGCTCGGCTGGCAGGCCGTCAGCTCCAGCAGCTTTGTTGTTTTTCAGCCGCGTAATCGCTATTCGTACCTCGTCATAGTCAGGCGGTGGGACAGCTACTCCATCATCATCGACTGGGGACTCGGGTTCGTCTTCCTCACTACTTTCAGCGCTGCTACCATTCAGTAGGTTATAAAAGTGTTCCCTCCACAATTTAAGTATATTCTGGACATCGGTCACTAGGTCGCCATTGTTGTTCTTACAGGAGTTCGCCCCGGTCTTGAAACCTTCCGTAAGTCGCCTAACCCTCTGGTAGAATTTTCGGGCGTTCTTCCTGTCGGCCAGCATCTCAAGCTCTTCGCACTCACGTATTTCGGCCTCTCTCTTCTTATTGCGGCAAATACGTCTCGCTTCCTTCTTCAGTTCCCTATAACGGTCCCACATGGCTCGCGTTGCGCCCGATCGCAGCGTGGCCCTGTAGGCGGCATCTTTTTTCTCTGCGGCTTCTTGACATTCCTCATCGTACCAGTTGTTCTTTCGGGCTCGCTGAAATCCAACTACTTCTTCGGCGGCGGTACTTAATGATCGGGAAATGTGGTTCCACTGCTCGCGTACGTCGGATTGTTGAAGAGTGCTCTCAGAGAGCAGGTGTGTGAGTCGAGTGGCGAATAAATTGGCCGTCTGTTGTGATTGCAGCTTTTCGACGTTAAGCTTTCCTTGCATTGTTGGGCGCACATTTTTTGCTGCACAGAGGCGGGTGCGTATCTTGGCTACAACAAGATAGTGGTCCGAGTCGATGTTTGGCCCTCGGAGTGTACGTACGTCCAAAACGCTTGAAGCATGCCTTCCGTCTATCACAACATGATCGATTTGGTTTCTCGTTTTTCGATCTGGAGACAGCCATGTAGCTTGGTGGATGTTCTTATGCTGGAACCTAGTACTACATATTACCATATTTCGGGCCCCGGCGAAGTCGATCAGCCTCAGTCCGTTATCGGACGTTTCGTCGTGGAGGCTGAATTTTCCGACAGTGGCGCCAAAGATCCCTTCCTTGCCCACCTTGGCATTAAAATCGCCAAGCCCGATTTTGACATCGTGTCGGGGGCAGCGCTCATATGTACGTTCCAAGCGCTCATAGAAGAGATCCTTGGACGCCTCATCCTTCTCTTCCGTCGGGGCATGGGCGCAGATGAGCGAGATGTTGAAGAATCTAGCTTTGATGCGGATTGTGGCTAGACGTTCGTCCACCGGGGTGAACGCCAGTACTCGGCGACGGAGTCTCTCTCCTACCACGAATCCAACACCGAATTTGCGCTCCTTTACGTGGCAACTGTAGTAGACGTCGCAAGGCTTCACGCTTACTTTACCTTGCCCCGTCCATCGCATTTCTTGGATGGCGGTGATGTCAGCCTTTGTCTTCCCGAGGACATCAACCAGCCGGGCAGAGGCACCTTCCCCATTAAGGGTCCGGATATTCCAGGTGCATACCCTTAAATCATAGTCCTTTATACGTTTGCCGTGGTCGTCATCAGAAAAAGGGGGTCTCATCCGAGGCTGTTTGCTTCTTTTCATTGGGCGGGGTTTTAACGTGGCGGGACCCAAACCCAGCGCACGCGAAGTTTTACGCCTTCTCACTTTAGCTCGCTCCCAAACGGGTGTTTGGTTGCTACCCAGAGGATACGTGGATATAAATATCCGGACGTTGTGAGCTGCGATTTGAACCGTACGCACAAGAATCGCTTCTGGCCACTCCCAGGTGAATGGCAGTCAAAAGTTTTCCACTTCTGCACACGGAACCATCCTCCTTGCACTGTGGTCTACTGTTGAGAATAAAAGGGGTAAAAAACAAGTAGGGGTTGTTGGTACAAACATTAGCAAAGACTTGGATGTGGCTGTCCGATATAAGTGGTTACATCTAGCGTCGTTCTCCCCATCTGTTTCGGAAGAAAATATAATAAACTATGTTTCCAATCAGGCGGGTTTGAACAAAGATACATTAGTATGCTATAAACTAGTTAAAAAAGATGTGGAAATTTCAAGTCTAAAGCGTGTAAACTTCAAGCTGGGAGTGCCGGAGACAATGTTTTCTAATTTGCTTAGTTCGGACTAACGTGACGGTCAAACCTTTTCGGTTTTTTCCAAAGGACCAACAACAGCTGCTTCAAACATAGTTAATTTTCCTCCTTTTGCTAATAGCTTAAGGGTATGTTTCCAAAATATGTCTGGCATGTGAGCAACAGTTGATATCGTGCATTCTTTTACTGCGCAGATGGATTACGACGTCTATGTACTTGTTGAGACGTGGTTAACCTCAAACTTTTTTGATGCTGCATTCTTCGATGCTAACCTCTTCAACGTCTTTCGTAAAGACAGGGATGCTGTGAAAACTGGTTGCTAAAGAGGTGGTGGTGTAATCGTTGCTGTCAAGCGCGAACTACGCGCGCTTCTGATTTCTCTAGCTAGTGATGATTCACTTCTGGATCAACTTTGCGTCAGTATTAGTGGCAACTCTTCAAAAGAATCCCTGTATGTAGTAACCTCATATATACCACCAGGAAGCTCATATGAGTTATACAAAGCACATGCTAATAATATTTCATCATTAGTTTTAAATAATTTGCGTGATAACCATTTATGTGTTCTAGGAGACTTTAATTTATCCAATATTAATTGGGTTAGCAGTGAGTCATGCCCTAGTCTCATAGTTCATAATATGGTTGCCATGAATTATATTTAGTAGATAGTATTTTGAGTCTTAACTTGAAGCAAATTAATAGTTTTGCTAATGAATTAAACAGAATATTAGATCTTATTTTTGTCAGTGAAAACTTGAATTACCGAATTTCCGACTGTATTAACCCAATTACAGCTACGGATAAACATCATATTCCACTAGTTATAAAGTTAGACTTTTATTGTTTTTCCGCTATTAAGGACAACAAATTGTCATTTAATTACTCATTATGCGATTTTTTTTAGTTTTAATTTTAGTTTTTAACCTAGACACTGCATACTGTTTTTCTATATTTAAGTCAATCTTATATGAACTCTGCCTGGATAATATACCGGTTAAAAAGAAAAAGCCGTATAAATTGCCCTGGTATTCAAAAGACTTAAAAAGTCTAAAAAACCTTAAAAACAAATTCTATGAAAAATTTAAAACTTCAAGAAATCAAGTTTACTTCGTTAAGTATCAGCATTTCTTAAAGAAGTTTGATTCTTTAAATAAGACTCTTTATAGTAACTATGTTCGTGACACTGAGTTGAATATTAAATCTAACCCCAAATTGTTCTGGAACTACGTGAAATCAAAGAAAGGATGCTCCAGCTTACCCACAGGAATATTTCTTGGTGATAAAGCTGCGAAAACGCCAAGTGATGCGGCAAATTTGTTTGCTGAATATTTTGGGTCGAATGTCGTTCAGAATGACGTTACATCTGCAGAATTTTGTGCTAATATCTCCTCGTCTCTCAACTTTGGCTCATTAAGTCTCTCATCTGAAGACATAAGTAATGGTATAATTAAACTAAGACCCTCCA